TTGTTGTTGTTGTTGTTGTTGTTGTTGTTATTGTTTCAGTTTATATGAACTTAGCTTATTTTCTTCAGACTAGTTAAAAAATTATGGTAACTTTTTAAAATTAGAAAAATTAAACTTAAACTTCTCATCTTATCCTTGATGAGAAGCTATTATAGCTACACAAGTATTATTAATCTTATCCTTGATGAGAAGCTATTATAGCTACACAAGTATTATTACATGTTTTAGATTACAACATTTTCCTTTTATTCTTATACTCCGTATCGACTGTCAAACTACGAACATATATAAATAAATTATTTTTCAGGGAAAGAAATATCATTGAGGTAGTGAACAAAATATCGCCAAAGTTCCAAGAAGGTCTGAAAGCATTTTCTGACAGTCCCATAATCGGGGAGGTAATAGTAATTATCATGGTAGAAGTAGCTAATTAAAACTTCTTAATTACCTATTAATTGTTTATTTTATTCAAATATTTTTTTTCCAGATAAGGGGAACTGGTTTGGTACTTTCTACAGAGTTTGTAGATAACAAATCTCCTAATGATCCCTTTCCTCCTGAATGGGGTATGTTTTGTATCTCTCCTCTTATCTGAGGTTAAGTTAAATTCCATGAAAAAGAGGCCAAATATACCATGTACTAGGAGAAATAGTTTAAAACTACTCCCCCCTCTTTCAATATTCGTCTATAGCTAACCAGACCTCACCATTATACAGTTACTCAAATTTACCCCTAATGCTAATAAAGGGGACACGTGGAGGATGTTGGTCGATATTATTATCTACTGGAGGGGAATGGGTCGGATTATAGGTTAAATTGAGTGGTGGATTTGTAAAAGAACCGGATATTATATTTGGGGGTGGGCTTGAGTTTCTGGCCTGCCACGTGTCTCCTATGTTAGCTTTAGGAGTAAATTTGAGCAATTGTATAACGGTGAGGTTAGCTATCGACGGATACTCAAATAGAAGGTAATTTTAGACTATCTATTATAGTACATGTGTATCCGTAAAATTTTAAGCTTATTTTGAAAAATTGTTCATTCTTTACTTAGGTGTTGGTCCATATTTTGGAGCACAGTGTGAGAAGTACGGGATGTTGGTAAGTTGTGCTGGCGATTACATAAATATGGCTCCTCCATTTACTTTGAGTCTTGACGAACTTGACGAGGTAAGTTCCTGGGAAAGGCATTTGACAGTATTACTTTGCATTTGTTACAAATATTTAAATAATCACATTTATATTCACTACAACAAATAAGGCTTTTCAATGGTGACTTTTCCTGGTTCTTGAGTCGAGGGTTTACCGGGAATAACCTTTCTACCTTCGTAAGATAAGAGTAAGGTCTGCGTACATACTATCTTTCCCAGACCCTACTTGTGTAATTTCACTGAATTTGTTGTTATTGTTGTAACGGTGGCTTTTCCTGGCGACTCCTTTAGTAGTCACAAAAGTAAGGTGGCGAATTTTCGGAGTCGCCACGGGGAAGTCTCAGCAACTGGAATATTATCAGTGACTCGTTTTTTCACCTATGTGGCGGCTTTAAATTATTCGCTACTAAAGGTCTCATTTCTTGTGATCATTTGAATGTTGATTTCCTTGGACTCTTTTGATTATCAATTTTTATCAGATTACAAACTGTTTCATGCAAAACTGAAAAAACCGTTCCCGTTTTTGCAGTTGATAAGCATATATGGGAAAGCACTTAAGGATACCGAAAAGAGAGTGGAAGAACTGAAGTCCCAAAAGAAGGAAATGCTGATGGCAAAAGCTTGAAGACAGCAGAAGAAGAAAAGATGAACAAAAAAATTTCTAAGGCCAATTAATCAGACTCTGTTAGCTACTCTTAGATGTCTAATTTATATCAAAATATTAACTAGGCCAGAATCCATAACAAGCTGGGATCCATTATATGAATCCTCTATATTTATTCGGAGGATTTATCATAGTTAGACTTGTTTTACTCTATCAACTTGTTAGAAACTCTGTGCTTTAAACTGCTTTAGCTTTGCTAAATAAAGTCAGAAATTTAAAGTTTTCCATTTTCAAGTTGCTCTCCTCTTTTCTATTAATAATGTTGGTTGCAGCTTTGCACTCCGAATTTTCTATTGAAGGAGTCTGGTCAATTGATTCCAATGATGTTGATTGTCACACTATAAGTGTTTCATTATTCGAAATTGTTATTTCATGCACCCCCGAATTGAGATTCATGTATCGTAATCATGCCACGGGAACCGTACCCATGGCCACGATAATTTATTATTGATCGCGCCTAAAGCAAACTACGGTGTTCATAAGTTGATATTTCCTAAAGCTTGAGATTAAGGCCGAGAGTTTATGGAATTTATTTGTGAAAAACGGGGCAAATTTTAACTAAAAGATGGCGAGGCATGTATACTACAATCATTCAATGATTATGTCCATTCATAAGGGAAATGCGACAATTATTAGAAGGTATGGGATTGAAATCATTTGACTTAAAATGCAACACTGACAGATGAATCATCGCATAAAAAGGAATATATCTACTGCTAAAAGACAAATAACTGGCACAATTCAAACATCTTGACAAATGAGATCATATTAAAATTAATTTAAACCCATATTGTATTAACAAATTGATTCACTTCATACGCTAACCCATTTAGCACATACGGGCTGATAAAGAGAGATCAAGACAATGTAATTGAGGAAACGCGATGTTATTACTATTCGTGGGTAAAAATGATCTAAGAAACGAAAAGGGACTTTGTGTGAATCTATGACCATTTGGTGATATTTTACATCTACACATTTGAATATTCAGCAAGAACATCAATGTCAAAACAAGGGAGGATAGTTCATTAACATAAATGAAATAGACTTACAGAGTAATTAATGTGTTTACCTCTCAGCAGGAGATACAAGAACAAGTAACCAACTAAAGCTAGAATGCGAGAAGGGAGTTTTGACCCACTGATTTTCCGTGAAGCATCAACAATTTTAGGAGCTCAATCCGCAAATAAAGACCAGAAATGAGTCAGAATAGAGCGTTAGTAGAGAAGGGCAACAACAGAGTTCAACGAAAAACCAGATTTTCGGCCATAAAATCTCAGTATCGATTTGCCTCATGAAAAGGTCGCCGGAAAATAGCAAAGTCGAAGGAAAGAACAAAATACGGCCACAATCCGGATCCTCCCTTGAGCGAACGAGACAAGCCTCTTCAAGAAGAAAGAGATGGCTAGTTTTCTGTTAAGTAAAGGTCCTTGGTTTAGCTTTTCTTTAGAGGGGTCTGTCTAATCTCTCTCTATTAGGAAAGGGGAATCTCATTGTTGGAGACAGCTGAAGATACTCGATCCAGACGAGAGTTCTTCTGTTGTTTTCAATTTAGGAAATTAGGTCCTTGGTATAGAAGAAAGACCCGCTGATCTCTCTCCTAGAAGAGGCGTCGTTTCTCTGTATTTCTTGAGAGGAGCAACCTATGATCCCTTTTTTTTAGGTCTAGGTTATTAGGTGTTTAAATAAAAAGAAAGAAAAAACAATTGGGTCAGGTAGTGAAATGGGCTGGTATTGGGCCGATTTTGATTTGGGCTGGAGAAATTTGTTTGGACTGATTTTGGCTTTAAAATGGCCCAAGTTCCGAATTTAAACCCAATTAATTAAATCCCTTATTTCCTTTTCTTTTTTTTTTTCCCTTTTTTTTCTTTTTTTTTAAATTAAAAATCCTAGAAATTAAAATCCTAGATTATCTAAAAATGTGAAATTAAACTAATTAACTAATTATAAAAAGCTACTTAATCCTCAATTAAAAGAGAGAAAAAAAATAATAAAAGTGTAAAAATGAAGCATTTTTTGTGATTTTCATTTTTTATAAAACAAGTAACTACCGATTAAAAATAAAGCCTAAATGCCATACGTGATATTTTTGGTATTTTTCATAATTTAAATAAAACTTAAACATGCAAGAAAAATGCAAACAATTAATAAAATCTACGAATTTGCAAATAATGGAAAAAATTTATTTTTCTTGAATTTATGGGAGTAATTCACATAGGGCAATAATCACGTGCTCACAGCTGCCCCTCTTTGCTCGGAAACAAGAAGTGTTTTCGGGCAAAGATAAAGTGAGCAATATGAGGGATTTTTGCCCGTTTGAAACTCCATGAGAAGCATTTTTGAAAAGAACCTGACCGAACCCTGCTTCAGAGGTTGCCTACATATCCTTGGCTATAAAGGAATTAGGTCAGTGTAGTTCTGGAAGTTTCGGTAGCTGAGACTACCGGAAAGCTGTGATTTCACTGCTGTTGCTGCTGTTTCTGCTTGCTGAGCTCCTTATTACACCAAACAGAAAAATAAAAAAGCTAAACTAAGTGTATCAGCTACGAGTTACAAGATTCATATCTATAAATCTCTTGAAGCTTGATCTTGAGTCTTGGCTGGTTCTTGCTGCAGACTTTGATCTGAATCTTAATGCTCGTCAACTGTGACCGCTGGTTCATTCTTCAGCTTTGGATCAAGGCGGGACATGCGAAGCTTATGATTTCAATCATATCTCGAGTAGTCCTCTTATTTCTCTGCTTCTACACTTTAAATTCACTTCTTGTCTTTATTTTTGTGTATTTTTTTCTTTTTATTCTGGATTGTGACTAACTTCTGTTGATCATCTTGGATTGTTGATTCGCATTCTTGCCGCGAGCTTCTGCTACTTCTAACTTGAATTGAATTCTGAAATAACTTCTCTTGTTTTTCAGGCAGGCGCCTGATTGCTGAACCTGAACCGTCTTCTCTTGTTACTTGACACTGTTTTCCCTTGCACGCTTGAACCATTTTCCCTTGAAACCTGAATTGTCTTCCTTTGAAACTGCTTTCCCTTGAAACTTGAGTTGTCTTCCTTCGAAACTGCTTTCCCTTGAAACTTGAGTTGTCTTCCTTCGAAACTGCTTTCCCTTGAAACTTGAGTTGCTTTCCCTTGTTCTCCTGGTGGGCGCCTGATTACAACAAAACAGACAAAACAAAAGAAATTTTTCTGCCCCAGTTTGCACTAGGAAGATTTGTGAGTTGTTAGCAAACTTGTAAACTACTTGTACTATTGATGCAATGATGAGAGTAAACTAAAGAATAGACTAGGAAAACTATAAACAAAGCTTGGCTAAAGTAAAGACTGACCCTATTCTCCAGGCGGGGCCCCTGATTTCAAGAAAACTAAACATTGATAATTTAAGAAAACTAAAAATTGACCCTTTTTTTTTTCAAATCCAGACTTCTTCTTTTTTTAAAAATATCCTAGGAGAAAATTCGTCAGACTAGGTTTTCTATCTTAGGAGAAAGATTCATCATACTAAGATGTTAATCCTAGGAGAGAATTCATCAGACTAGGTCCCTTTTTTTGTTTGTGTTTGGTATCTTAGGAGAAAGATTCATCCGACTAAGACGTTTATCCTAGAAGAAAATTCATCAGACTAGGTTTTCTATCTTAGGAGAAAGATTCATCAGACTAAGATTTATATCCTAGGAGAAAGTTCATCAGACTAGGTTTTCTATCTTAGGAGAAAAATTCATCAGACTAAGATTTTGATCTTAGGAGAAAATTCATCAGACTAGGTCACTTTTGATATCTTAGGAGAAAGATTCATCATACTAAGATTTTGATCCTAGGAGAAAGTTCATCAGACTAAGATTTCTATCTTAGGAGAAAGTTCATCAGACTAGGTCTTCTATCTTAGGAGAAAAATTCATCAGACTAAGATTTTGATCTTAGGAGAAAATTCATCAGACTAGGTCACTTTTGATATCTTAGGAGAAAGATTCATCATACTAAGATTTTGATCCTAGGAGAAAGTTCATCAGACTAAGATTTCTATCTTAGGAGAAAGTTCATCAGACTAGGTCTTCTATCTTAGGAGAAAAATTCATCAGACTAAGATTTTTTTTTTGTATCCTTGGAGAAAGATTCATCAGACTAAGATGTTTATCCTAGGAGAAAGTTCATCAGACTAGGTTTTCTTATCTTAGGAGAAAGATTCATCAGACTAAGATTTTTATTGGAAGGAAAATCCATCAGACTAGGACATATTACCCTAGGAGGAAAATGTAAAGAGCGATGGCATGACTTTATGCATATTAACAAGATAAATGAAGGCAAAAATTTGAGAAACTTCTCTTCGTCGGCTCTTCTCTTCTTTTCTCTGTCTTTTTTTTTTTTTGCTTTTCTTTTTCTATTTTTCTCTTTCTTTTTTTTCTCTTTTCTTTTCCCTTCTTTCTTTTTTTTCTTTTTCTCCTTTTTTTTAGAATCTCTTTCCTTGCACTGCTTTGTTCCTGTTTCAAACAAAGAAAACTTTGTTAGTTTTGAAAGTGATGGTCGGTTTGGGGCCTTGAGTCTTGAACATCTTGGCTTTTGCTCGATCAGCCTGAGTCGGTCTCAAGAGACTTTTATTCTGCACCAACTCTGATTGTTTCACACCCAGTATCGTTTGTATTTGCAGCTCAAACAACCTTATCCCAACTGGAGATCTTTGCTTAGGTGACTTTTTCTGATATCTTGAATGACTTCCCGCTTTTGAGCAATTTGTCTGTCAAAAAGAATCAGCAGTTATCTTTGCTTGCTCCAAGTAGGCTGACAAGAGTCTTTTGGGGGTGCCGTTGCATGAATCCTCAAGGCACGTTGACAGTAGCAACCGATTGTGCCGGCCAAATTTACTTTGTGCAACTGAAAAATTGGTAGCAGATTTTGAAATCTTTTCTTACTTGTTTTGACAATGACTGACTCAGAGTGAAGGACACAATGATGCAAATAAACTAATATTAACAAGAAATGCCCCCTGTCGGAAGGACAGAAGGAAGAGTTTTTTTTTCCTTTTTTTTCAATAACTAGTCTTAATGGTCATGACATGCATTTTGGACTCAACGGCCTGATATATCAAACTAATCCAATATTCCCTTTTGTCATTCTTATGACCTTTGAAGTCGGGCTTGTTTGTACCAATCCTTCGCATCATCTTCACGACTCACTTTCGACTAGTGGTGCCCCGAGAGGTTTTCACCAATAAGTCTCTCTCATTTTTTCATCTTTG